CCTAAACACTGAAGGGTCTCTCTTTAAAGACTCTCTTTTTCTAGAACCTCCTACTAGCTGTCCAGAAGCACGCACCCTGCGGCAGTGGATCCTGGTTGGCTCTGAGGAGAGAAAGAGGTTGGGAGTACGCAAGAGGAGGTGGAGTGAATGTACCCCACTGCCTGGAGGGAAACTTGAGACCCTATACCACCCTCGAGCTGCCAGGGTGAACCCCACTCAGCCCCAGTGGACCCCATTGTGCAACATTATGGGTGATAAGTCCAGGGGTCGACCTGTCATAATGGAGGCACCCCAGCATGGTGGGAACACTGAAGAGGGAGTGCCCAACTGGTCCAGAAGTCCAGGAGGGCCTGAGAGGACTGACCCCCTAGTGGGGACCCAGGAGACAATGAGGTTCAGAGGAAAGAGGCTGGGCTCCTGGGGGCCATGATGAGCGTGAAGGGCCTGGAAGATAGGCCAGTGGAGAGAAAAAATAGACAGGTGTTTCAGGGAGCTCCCAGGGCAGGGTCTCAAAACCAGCCCAAGGGGACATTAGGAGGCCAGGAGAGACAGCAGGGTAGGGGACAAGGTCAAACATTCCAGATACAGGTGGATAGGACATTGATGGCAACATTCAAACATCTCCCAGAGGGAGTGGATGTCAGAGCTCAGACCTTTCCTGAGTAGCTTGGGGTGGGAAGGTAGGTGGGCCAGGCCAGGCCGGGCCTTGAAGGCCATGCCCAGAAACTGAACTCTGTCCTAAGAGTCCTGGGGAGCGAGGGAAGGGTACTGAGCAGAGGAGGGGCAGGTCAACCTGGGGTGTGCAGAGAATGGAGGCCAAGGCAGAGGCTGGAAGGCCAGGGAAGAGGCATAAACAGAGGACCCAGGGAAGAGGGCGAAGCCTGGGGACAACGGAAGTTGAGAGGCCACTCTGTCCCTCCCTGGCTCTATCCCCCATCCACTGTCCCTCCCTTTGATCTCGGCTGCCAGCACCCCAGGCCCCCATTTTCCCAGCCATACCCCCACCCCCACCCCATTTTCTCCAGTCCATAAAACCGGTCCAAGCAGGCACTACATTAGTCTAGGCGGTGTCCGGGCAAACAGGTTCTGAGACCAGGGAAGCAGCCTGGAGGCCCAGGTAGGGCAGGCCCCCACCCCCTGGGGGACCGACTGAAGAAGCTGTTCCCATTGTCCTCCCAGGAGCTCTGGAGGCAGCCAGTCCCCACCCAGTCCCTCTGGGTGGCGGAAGAAGGCTGCCAGCTTCACCAGCAGAGCAGAGGGATTGGTCCATGGACCTGCCTGAGGGCTGGCTGGGCGACCCTGCTGCAGCAACAAGTAGGTAGCTGGGCCCCTGGGGTTCAGCAGTGAGCAAGGGGTGAAAGAGCGCCAGTCTGGGACTTGGAAGACTTGGGGTGGCTGCACCTTCACCTTGGGGCAGGGGCAGCAGGGAGGGAGGGAGCCCTGGTGGCCCAGCAGACGCTCTAACCCGAAGGCCAGCAGCTAGTAGCCATCCATGCCATCTGTTCCCAAAAAGGCAAGACAACCTAGAAAAACCCTTTGGGGCCCTGCTGCTCTGCCCTGCAGGGTTGGGAGAATTTGGTTTGATGAGTCCTCCTGTCTGTGCATCTCGCTCTCCACTCCCACCCCCTACCTACAGGTTCACCCCGCACTTGACTCAGGGCCCAGTCCCCATTGTGCTTCCTGACCTCAGAGAAAACCCCTACCCTGTGACCCTCTCTCCCCTCCCCTGCCTCTATTTTCTTCCCAGCGGGAACATCCTTGTCTGGATGGAGTCTGTCCCCTTCCAGAGTGTGAGCAGGGGGTAGGTCTGTAGTGCTCACCCGGCTTCCTCAGAGGGGTGAGGGGGTGCAGGGTGGGAGTGGGGAGGGAGCCCGGAGCAGCAAGCTGTCCTAAAGGAGCTTCACACACCTCGCTGCCCGTCAAGTCCAAATGTCTTAGGCCCCGCGCTGTTTTAAAAAAGCAAAGTAACCAGGGGAAGGATGGCAGTATTTCATGTGTTCATTCCATGTCCAAAACAATCAATTTTCAGCCTGTGAACTAAAACAAAAACTGCCTTCGAGTTGATTCTGACTCAGTGAGCCTGTGGGGAGGCGTAGAAGAGGAGAGGGAGGAAATCTTTGGTAGAACCATCTAGACCAGTGGTTCTCAACCTTGCTCATACAGCAACCCTTTAATACAGTTCCTCATGTGGTGGTGACCCCCCCCCCACAACCATAAAATTATTTTCTTTGCTACTTCATCACTGTCATTTTGCTACTGTTAAGAATCAGGCGACCTCTGTGAAAAGGTCATTTGAGCCCCCAAACGGGTCGTGACCCAGTTGAGAACCACTGGTCTAGAGTATTCTGTGGTGCAGGCATTAGGACAGTTGAGAACCACTGGTCTAGACTGTGTTGTTGGCATCCTCTGGTAATCTGATGTAGGAGCAAACACACATACACACACCTTCTAGAAGATTCCTTCTACGAAGGGGAGCAAGGCTCCCAGGCTCTGGCAGAGTGTGGGGACAGTCTTATGGAAGACTCCCACCCCTGAGAAAGCCCAGTCAAAAGGAGGATGCAGGGCTCCCACCCTTTTAGGAGAGGGTGTTGGACAGTAGAGGGAGAGAGTCCAGTCTGATGATGGAGGTAGCGTCCGGTCCTGGCATCAGTCCTCAGGATGCTTGTCCACACAGGAAGACCCTGGACAGAGATGAGGGTGGCAGAAACCAGGAAGGACAGGGTCATGATGGCCACCTACACTTGGCCTGCACCAGTAGAGGGCGCACGGCCTCCGAGGCACCAGAGAGAGGAGGTCCGAGGGCAGATGGAGATGCGTTGGGGAGCAGAGGCGCAGAGATAGCAGAAGAGGAGAGAAACAGAAGAAAGAGAGACGGAGAAGGAACTGGGGGTGAAAGACTGAGAGTCCGGGCATGAGAGAGAGGGCCATCCCCTCACCAAGAGGTGGGACAGACAGACTGGAGGGAGGATAGGCATGGGAGGAGATGCGGCCCCTGGCGCAGACCCTCCAGCATCTCCAGTTGCTGTAGGTCCTTGCGCCCCTCCCCAAGGGCCACACTGCGGCGGGTGCCCAGTTTCACTGGCCATGAAGATCCTTAGAAACGTCAGAGGGCAAAAGGATTCAGCAGGGGGCTTCCTTCTCCAGGCCACCTCCTCTTCGTGTGCTGCTGACACCAGCCAGTCTCCCACAGGGCCCATTGGTCTCCATCTGCCAGGTGCTTTCCAAATCGCACCAGCCCTGGTGGCACTGACCCTGCAAGATCAGTGGTTCAAACCCACTAGCCACTCCTCTTGAGAAAAAAGAGGCTGTCTGCTCCTATAAAAATGTCCAGCCTGAAAAAAAAATGTCCAGCCTGACTATCCTAGAGGGTCAAAATCCCCTCAAAGGCAAGGGTCCCCCAGGAGGGAGGCCATACCAGTCTTGCTCTCCTGAGGCAGAAAGAACCAACCAACCTGCCCCTCCAGTTCAGTGTTCTTTGAAGATAGAAGCCGGTGGTCCAGGTGGACCTGACACCTCGGCAGGTGAAAAGCAATCACAGCCTAGGGATTCCTAAGCTGTCATCTTTCTCACTCACTGCTACAGAGGGGATGCCAGCTTCCCCTCTGAGTTTTGAGACTGTAGCTCCTTACAGGAGTAGAAAGCCGCATCTTGCCTCCCTTAGAGGTGCTGGTGGTTTTGAACCACTGGCCTTGAGGTTAGCAGCCCAATGAGTAACCACTCTGCTATGAGGGCTCCTAGCTGTCATCTTTAAGGGAGCAGATTAGGCTCTCAGGTCTTTTCTCCTGCAGACTGGCTGAAGGACTGAAGCCTCCAACCTTTCCGTGAGAAGCCAGGTGCTTAACTATCATACCACTGGGGCACCTGGCCTCCTTGCTGGTGGGGAGACAAGGCTCTGAAAGGGGAAGTAGTTGGTCCCAGCGGTGGGGCTGGGCTCTGAGCCCACGTGGGCTCAGCTCACCATACACACCCACCCTGCCTGGATTGCCCATCCCCTGCACCTCAGAGCCCTGGCCTGGGCTCGGGTGATGCTGCTGATGACGCTGTCAAGCCAGGAAGGAGGGCAACCTGGCCCCCACACACGCACACAGCCTGGGAGGCCGGAGATGGGCCTGCTGGATCGATGGGAGCTGCTGGACTGCCAGCGTTATTGGATTGTTCCCGGCTGGGGTGGGTGGAGAGGCCTTCACCCAGGGCTTCTCCCAGAATCCTCTCTTCTCCACCCTCCCCAGAGCAGAGCCTGGGAGGCCAGGAGAGAAAGTGAGCTTGGAGCCTTCACTGGGGGCTCAAGAGTGGTGGACGTGTGGGGTCACAAAGGATCAGGGCTCTCAGAAAGACTCAGGGGCTCAACGCCAGACTGCTAACCGAGAGGTCAAAAGTTCAAAACCCCCAGTCGCTTGCCATTGGGAGAAAGACTGGCTGTCAGCATCCATACAGATGAAACCAAAGACAAACCCACTGCCACCAGTCAGTGCCAACCCTCTCGGACAGAGCAGATTCATCCCACAAAGTGCCCACTGCAGAAATCTTTCTGGAAGATGACGGCCACGTCTTTTCCCCGTGCTGTAGCTGGGGGTTTCAAGCCTCAGACCCCTCCAAGCAGAACTACCTCCCAGCCACAGGTTGCATGAGTTTTTGTGGAGAAGGAGGCAGGGAGCACTTCCTGACCTGAAAGATGAGGCCCCGCACATCGCTGTCCCCCACTCCAAAAACAAATTCCCGAGCTCACTGTCACTGAATGGAGTCTGACTCACAGTCACCCTGTAGGACAAGGTACAACTGCCCCTGTGGGATTCCGAGGTTGTGACTCCTCAAACAGGAGTGGAAAGCCTGGTCTTTCTCCCTGGGAGGAGCTGGTGATCTTGAACTGCTGATCTTCTGGCTAGCAGCTCAACTCATAACCACTACGCCGCCAGGGCTCAGGGTGGTTCCAAATGGGTCTCTCCCCACTGCTGGGAGGTTGCTGGGGGCAGGCCATGGGGCCTGGACACCCAGGCTCCTGCTCTGCTCCCCATCCTCCTCACTGCCCTCTTGTCCTCAGTGCACCTCTGGGACCAGCCGCAAGAGGGCAGTGTGGGCACACCGCCCAGCTTAGAGGAGCAAATCCTCAACTCCACTTTTGAAGCCTGCGACCCCCAGAGGACAGGTGGGGAGATGGAGGTGGGGGCGCTCTGGATGGGATGGGCAAGGGATAATAGGGGGCAGGAGTGGCAGGCTGAGGACAGGGTGGTGGCACCAGAGTCCTGGGCTAGGGGGTCCGATTGGAACAAAGCTCCTGATTATGGGTTGATTGGGGAAGTAAATGGACAAGGAGGTGGGGGGGCCTTCCGGTAGAAGGGAATTGGGAGGACACAGATGGGCAGCCAGTATTTGTGGGCCTGTATGGGCCTGTCCCAGGGGGTAGGGCTTGGCTGTCCTGTGACCCAGCTGTCCTGTAGGCACGGTGGCTGTGACCCAGGTTGTGGCCTACTTGGAGACTGTGACAGGACGAGGCCCCCAGGACTTGCACCTCCAAACACTGGCCCGCAGCCTGGACCCCAACAGGGAGGGCGCTGGGGCCACTGTGGACCTGGACACCTTCCTGGTAGTCATGCGGGACTGGATTGCTGCCTGTCAGCTGGACGGGTAGGTTCCTCTCCCCCACCTCCCACCCCTCTAGGCCAGGGCCCTGCTCAGGTGGGGAGAGACCAGGGAGGACCACAGAAATGGGAAGAAGAGGGGTTGGGAGGGGTGCTAAGGGGGCCTGGAACCAGAAATAAAAGGGGAGAAAGGAGGGTCATGAGGGGAACAGAGGCCCCTCACCGCCCTACTGCTTTCCCATCTGGCCCTGGGACTGCCATCTGGCCTCACCTTCCTCCCCACAGTGCCCCTGCCCAAGAACCGCTGCTGCCCTCCTCCCCTGCCGAAGCCACAGGGGGTTCTGAGCCTCATCCCTTTGATAACAGGGGATTAGAGCTGGAAGAGGAGCCAGCCTTCAAGGGAGCCCTGGCCCCCCAGCAGCTGCCATCTGGTGAGATTGCTATCTATAGAATGAAGCAGGTCGGCCCAGGGTCACACAGTGTGTGTTGGGGGGGAACTTCCCACCCAGGGCTGAGCCTAGGATAAGGGGGAACCCCACCAGTGTACCTGCCTGAAGCCGAGTCTGGCTTTCTAGGGCCTTCATGGCTGCCCTCCACACCCATTACTTGACAGTTTGGGGGGTTTCTCAGAAGAAAAAACCCTGCCAGACTCACTCTCCCCTGACATCACCACGGCAGCCCCCAACCCTGCTCAGCCTCTAGGTCCATGCCTTGTCCAACCCCTGGTCTCGCCCTCTTGCCAGCCTCTAGATCCATGCCCTATCCACCCCTGGTCTCACCTTTCTGTCCCCTCATCCTTCACACAACACCCCACCCCCACCCCCATCAAGGTTATAGGCAAGTGACCCCTAAAGTTATTGCCCCATAGGGTTGCGTTTTTGTAGCTGCCCACCACCCCCAGAGTACCCCAAGGACCTCATTCATAGAAAAACCCCAGGTCAATTCTGACTCACAGCACAGCGACCCTGGAGAACAGGGTAGAAATGCCCTTGTGGGTTTCCGAGGCTGTCTGTCTTGACGGGCGCAGACAGCCTTGTCTTTCTCCCACAGAGCAGATGGTGGGTTCCAAGCTTAAGCCCCTAAACCCCCAGGCTCCTTCATTTTTGTGAGGCGCTCTTTGAGGAAGGGTGCCTGCTGTGTTTCTCCTTCCCCGCAGAGGGTGGGAACCCTGGCTTTCATGACCTCCCTTAAATCTGCTCTCGTCAGGGTCAGCAGGGGTGAGAGGGTAGTGGGGCTGTGAGCCACACAGGAGGGTCAGCTCAGGTGAGGGAGAGAGTCCTCTGGGGACTCTTGGGGTACAGACAGGCTGGAGGGGGGACAAAGGGGGTAGGCTGGGGATGCTGAGGTGGTGGCAGCCTAGTGGTGAGGTGGACGGGGGGGGGGTGGGGAACACCACGAGATGTGCCCTCGAGCCCTTGGAGCAGGTGAGACCAAAAGCAGAAGTCAGAGGAGGGGCCTGAGCCTGGGCACCCCAACCTCTCAGACCGGGAGATCTCTAACACCCCACCTGTTCCCCCTTCCTCCAGGATGCCCAGAAATTGAAGAACCAGCCAACCTGGAGAGCTTCGGAGGCGAAGATGACCCTAGACCTGAGCTGTATCTATCCTCAGAGCCTGGGGGGAGGGGGGGGAAACGAGGGGTAGGGGGTGGTTCCCGGGGGTACAGGATGAGGCCATCTCCCTTCTCCTCGGCTCTAGACCCGCCACAGCCGAACTGCTGAGCAGCCTGGAGGACCTGGAGCTCAGTAACCGGCGGCTGGCTGCTGAGAATGCCAAGCTGCAGCGCAGCGTGGAGACGGCCGAGGAGGGCACCGCACGCCTGGCTGACGAGATATCTGCCCTGCGCAAGCAGCTCCGCAGGTGGAGCTGCCGGCCCGCCCAGCCCTCAGCCCTGGCCTCCCCCCCACTGCTGCCCTCCTCCTGCATCGGCCCTGACTTCCCTTCTCTAGCCTCTTAGGTGGCTCTCAGCTCTCAGCCTCCCTGCTTTATCCTCGAGCCCACAGGTCATCCTTCCACCGGGTCGGTCTGTCAGCCTGTCTTCATAGCCACCTTGGGGGCTCTTCTATAGTTGCTCTTAGAGGCTCCTTGCTCCTGGCCTCTCAGTCTCTAACCCCCTCTCTCTGGGTCTCTATCCTCCTCTCTCTCTGGGTCTCT